GGGGGGGGGGGGGGGGCACCAGTACATCTGGTTGTCCCCTCCGCCCATAAAATACGCAGACCTACACCAAACCACTTTTCAGCAGTGCGCGGATCACTGCACGTGCTTGCTTGCCCGGGTATATACCGTAGCTTGTTCAGCCTCCTGATACAACTTACTTGTTTCAGCATGTTGTGCACCTTTGTTGGTCACACAATTCTCGACTGTGGAGCATAACCGACTCTCTTTTCACCGAGGTTGTTTTTTTTCCGTTTGGAGGATATTGACGTGGATTTAGCGCGGCGGTCGGCGCCAAATGACGGAACGAGCACCCGTCGACTCGTGACCCAAGCCACATTTATTTCCGTCTTTTTGTTTGTGTGAGGCCCACTACGGGTCGTCACCATGTGTCGGGGGGTCGTTTGTTCTTCTTTTTCCATCGTCTTCCTCCCCCAAGTATCTCAAGAATGACAGCTGCTGTTTGCTGTCCCATGGTAATTTCCGGACGACTTGACGGTTCGTTGACTGCTGCTGCCCGACAGTCTCGTCGTCGTTTCATCGTCGTTATTCTCCGACAGTAAAATGGATGTTGTTGTTTCCACCCAACAATGTGTTGGTCCTCTGTACTTGTTGTCCACCACATTCTTTCTGTTGCCGCCCCCCTCGCTTTGTTGTTTGGCCGCGGCAAGCAAGGGCAAGGCGATGAAGGTTCATGTAAGGCCATGTGACGATTGTAAGATGCTTCATACAAGTAGGGGGGGGGGGCATATATGGGGAATGTCATCTATGAAGCGTGAGGAGAACGGCTGGTGGTGCATCAGTGTCTCACAGACCGCATGTTGCGGAGTAAGAGAGAACGAAGAAGATCAGAGCAAACAACATGAACAGGAGGGCGCGCAAGAATATTTAGCCTTTGCTTGCTTTCGACCACCTGTTTCGTGATGGGATTGCTGTTCCACTATTGTTCCTGGTGTTCGGTTTCCGCCTCTCCCTCTCTCTCTATATATATATATATATATATATCGCTACTTCGATCGTCTCTCTATCTATCCCTCCTGTTATCGTTGTTTCTGCCGCTGCCGCTGCCGCTGTTGCTCTGCTGTTGGGTGATTTTTGGTGGTGCCCCTTCGCACGCACGCGCAAGCGCGGTTGGTTAAGCTCCTTCTGAGTTTCTACTGTCCTTGCTCCCGCTCTTGTTGTTACCTACCACCACCGTCTTTCTTGCTGCCGCCGTTGCGGAGGAAACAAACGGCACCCGGTGGGGGGAGAGGGGGGGGGGGGGCGGGGGGGCTGGGTAAATTCTGTATTATGCTTCATGTGTGCATGTATATGTGGTATTCGTTTTTTGTCTTCTTTGGCGAGCAGAGGCATTAAAAAAAAATGTTCGTATGCTGCTGTATGGACGTGCGCCATGCAATATTGTTACGGGATTTGAGTACAAGGATCTGGAGTGTAGTTCTGAGCAAGGTATTAAGATATGTTGGGTACAAATCACCGGTCGCCCCGGTGGTCTAGTGAGTACTCTCGCAGCCTGCTAAGGGCCAGGCCATCGGTTCGAGTCCCGGCAGAGTGAGTTTTATCGAACTCAATATATCGCGCGACGCGCTGCAAAGCTCGGTGTTAGTGAACTACAATCGACTTCGTAAGTCGCGAGGGAAGGGATTGCTGTACCCGTCTCGCGATACAAGTATTTCAAGCAGGAACCGCAGGAGGGGGTCCAACCCCCCCCTCCTGTGTGACCCCGGTTGGGTCGTCTAGCTAGTAGAAGTGGACGATAGGGGCCAGAGGGGCAGACGACAGAGTCCAATGAAGGGAGAAAAAAAAAAAAAACTGCAACTCCGTAGGATTGTTGTTGAAGGGGGATATTTCCATGGCAAACCCCTCCTTGCAATATTGCAGCAATATTCAGAGCGGAGAAGCAACGAGTTTTGATTGATCCACTTGGCACCANCACAACGCTGACTCTGACTGCTGCTGTGTGTTTAGTAGACATACAAGCCCCGTTAGCCTTGTGCGGACACCTTGGTTGAACGGGTGCTGTAGGCGGTTGGCTGGGTAGGACAGCACAAGCCAGAGAAGCAAGAGGATATCTACACAACCTCACACAACGTGCTATTATTTCGGCTCGATCTTGGGTTCGTTCGTCAGGTCCGCAAGATTTTTCCAGAAATGTGGTGCCATTCTCCATAATTTCTTGTATGTAGTTTTGATTTTGCTCCATGTGTATTGGTGCTTTCTATCGATCATCAACAAATATCAAAACAGCCTGCTTGGGGTTCAGTTTCCCCTCGTTCTCTTTTTCTTGTGTTCGTTAATCACCGTCACCCGCGCCAACCTCCCGCCGCGTGCACATCCGCTGGGCAACAAAGTCCTACTACACGGCAAAGTATCAGCTTGTTGAATAGTACTCTGCCGCCCCCCCCCCCCCCCCCCCCCCCCCCCCCCCCCCCCCCCCCCC